GGGCCGGGAGCAGGAGGCCCGCACACCACCTCTCCCTGCATGGGGGGCGTGAGGCAGTGCTGTGTGCGACGACTGACTTCCTTCTTTTCTCCCCCCGCAATGCTAACCCATCGGAACTAACAACAGCGAGCATTCAGAATGAGCGTAAGTCCCCCTCCACCCCGGCTCTCACCACCCCTCTGCTTGTGCCTCGGGGAGGTGGGAGGGCCAGAGGGAGGGATGGGAAGGTGTCCAGGCACCGGGCCTGCCGTAGCTTCTTCTGGGGCTTGCCTGCCCCAGAGCCCTGTAGTCGGCGTCCTTACCACGTGGGAAGGACAGGGGTATGTACAGCTCTTCCTGCTCAAGGGGAAGGTGGAGGCGCGCACGGTAACCAGGAGGAGGCCCTTGGGAGTGGAGCTGAGGTATGCCATATTTGCCACCACTCTGGTGGCTGAGGGGCCACGAGGAGCAACATTGGAGGACTCAGAGTGAGAGGTCCTGGCTCTTTGGCATACCAGCAAGTCTCTGGAATTCTCTGTCTGGGCTCTCATCACAGCTGAGCTATCTATCTGCTGAGCCCCCAGAGCCCAGACCCACCATGGCCCCTGAGGTCTGGAAACTTCGATGTTCCGTGTCCTTATATTCATCCATGTCCCTTGTGCACTGAGTGTTGGGACACAAGGACGGGTCAAGCAAAAGCCTGGCCTTCATGTCCCCTGGGAACACTGAGAACCTTCCTCAAGGGATTTGTCTGTGCTTCGTGGCCCATTTAAGGAGCTGCTCTCCAGAATGGGGCTCAGTGCCCTGTGGACCTCCGTGTCTGTGTGGCTCCTGAAGTGCATGGTGGCAGTTGTGCCCTGAGCCGCTGACGGCCTCCCATGTGCACTGTTGCAGTGTCCCAGCCCCCGACCATCACCAAGCAGTCAGTGAAGGACCACATCGTGGACCCCCGGGATAACATCTTGATTGAGTGTGAAGCCAAGGGGAACCCTGCCCCCAGGTAAGTGGTGCTGTGGGGGAGAGCCCACCCCCATGCCTCAGGTCCTGATGATACAAGGGGGCTTCCAGAAGTTGGTGGAAGAATGGGAGCGAAAGGATCATGGGGGGGTTTCTATGAACTTCTGAAGCCCCCTGGTAAGTAAGGCAAACCAGGCAGCTGAGAAATCCAGTCTGTCCGCTCCAAACATCCAGTGGGAACCGACCCCATGGAAGAGACAATTTACAGAGCAAACTGCACACTGAGTAGGTTGGGATGTGGGCAGGCTTCAAAATACCAGTGGCGTCTCTCGGTTCGCTGGGAAAAGCCAGGGCTGGGTTTCCCGCTTTCTGCCCTTCATTCTCCCACTCTTCCACGGTCCCTTCCTCCACCTCCAGGGTAAGCTTCTCAGCAGTTCCTTGCTCCAGCTCAGCTAACTTGAGGCCTGCATCCTTAGCGTGCCTCTACTGGTCCTGTGCTCCTTGGAATCAAGAGAGATCGCAGCAGGCATGAGCGGAAAGCCTGCTGGGGCCAGGCTGTGTCTCTGTCCCAGCCGACTGTCCTATAGCGAAGTGCCGGGGTCCTCCTGAAGACATAAAACAGAGATTCTAGATACCCTTCCCGAGGCCGCACAGCTCGAAGAGCCAGGTCCAGGATCTAAAGCCGGGCTTCTGACCCCCGTCTAAACATGAGCGCGGGCCATAGGGCTGCTAAGGTGGCTGCCCCTTCTCGTCAAAGCAGCCCCACCGGTGGCCTTGGATCTTCCCCATCCCAGAATCCCACTCCAGCCCTCTAGGGCAGGTATGCCCGCAGGAGGCAGGATGGAGCCCTTGGGTCAGCATGGGCAGTCTGCCCCAGAGCTAGGAGTCCAGGAAGAAGCAGGAGCTGCCCCCACTGCCTGCCCATAGCAGTAGTAGTAGTCACCCCGTAAGGTCACTGGGGCCATCGGACTTGCTTCTGGGGCTTGGGGCTTTCCCCGTGCCACCTGCTCCTGCCCTTCCTGCTGCTTTTCTGCTGGGTCCTGAGCAGCTGGGGGCACG